ACAGGGAGTAGCGTTTTCCCCCCCGTATAGCGTCAGGGAATAGCGTCTTCACAGGGAAGAGCGTCTTCACCCAGAATAGCGCATTCACCCGGAATAGCGTTTTCACAGGGAATAGCGTTTTCTTTAGGAATAGCGCATTCACCCGGAATAGCGTCTTCACAGGGAGTAGCGTCTTCACCCGGAATAGCGTCTTCACCCGGAATAGCGTCTTCACAGGGAAGAGCGTCTTCGCCCGGAATTCAGCGTCTTCACAGGGAATAGCATCTTCACCCGGAATAGCGTATCCACCCCGAATAGCGTCTTCACAACGAATAGCGTCTTCACAAGGAATAGCGTCTTCACCCGGAATAGCGTCTTCACAGGGAATAGCGTCTTCACCCGGAATAGCGTCTTCACCCGGAGTAGCGTCTTCTCTGGGAATAGCGTCTTCACTATAGCGTCTTCACCGGGAATAGCGTCTTCACCCGGAATAGCGTCTTCACAAGGAATAGCGTCTTCAGCGGGAAAAGCGTCTTCACCCGGAATAGCGTCTTCATAAGGGAAGTGTTGTCTGTGTCCGCAAAGCGCGTCTTTACAGGGAGTAGCGTGTTCACCAGGAATAGCGTCCTCACCGGGAATAGCGTCTTCATAAGGGAAGTGTTGTTTGTGTCCGCAAAGCGCGTGTTTACAGGGAGTAGCGTCTTCACCAGGAATAGCGTCTTCACAGGGAATAGCGTCTTCCCTTGGAATAGCGTTTTCATAAAGAACAGCGTCTTCACCAGGAAAAGCGTTTTCGCAGGGAATAGCATCTTCACAGGGAGTAGCGTCTTCAGATAGCGTCTTCGGCGCGGCTCGAACGGGGATCCCCGGTTGCCAGGGCAATGTATATATATATATAGAGAGAGATAGGTAGATAGATAGATAGATAGATAGATAAATAGATAGATAGATAGATAGATAGATATATATGCCTATATATACACATATATATAGAGAGAGATGTCAGTTTGGGGAGGGGCCTTGCCTAGCAGAGGGTGCTGCACCACACCGGGGCACGTCTAACACCAAGGATGTGTTTTGAATCAGTTTGGGGTTGGGCCTTGCCTAGCAGAGGGTGCTGCGCCACAGTCACAGTGGGGCACGTCTAGCACCAAGGATTTATATTTATATCTATCTTTGGGGCAAAAGAAACTGGAGAGGGGCCTTGCTTAACAGAGGGCGATACACCTCGCAGGGGCACGTCTAACACCAGGAATGGTGGATTTAATCAGCTTGGGGAGGGGCCTTGCCTGTCAGAGGGTGCTGCACCACACAGGGGCACGTCTAACACCAAGGATGTGTTTTCTATGTTTAATCAGCTCGTGGAGGTGCCTTGTCTAGCAGAGGGTGCTGCACCGCACTGGGGCACGTTTAACACTTATGTTCATTCAGGTGGGGGAGGGGCATTGCCTAGAAGATGGTGCTGCACCACACTGGGGCACGTCTAACACCAAAGATGCTGTTTTAATCAGCTCGGGGAGGGACCTTGCCTAGCTGAGGGTGCTGCACCACAGTGGGGCACGTCTACAACCAAGGATTCTGTTTTAATCAGCTCGGGGAGTGACCTTGCCCAACAGAGGGTGCTGCACCGCACAGGGGGCACGTCTAGCATCAATGATATTTTTGTTCTCAATCAGCTTGGGGAGAGGCCTTACCTAGCAGGGGGCGCTTCGCCAAACAGGGGCGCGTCTAACACCAAGGATGTTTTTTGGTTTGTAAACAAATCAGTTTGGGGAAGGGGGCTTGCCTAACAGAGGGCGTTGCACCACACTGGGGCACGTTTAGCACCAATGATAATATGTTTCAATCAGCTTGGGGATGGGGCCTTGCCTAGCAGAGGGCGCTTCACCTCGCAGGGGCACGTCTAACACCAAGGATGCGTTCCTGTTTTGATCAGCTCGGGGAGGGACCTTGCCCAGCAGAGGGTACTGCACCACACAGGGGCACGTCTAACACCAATGATGCTATGTTTAAACAGTTTGGGGAAGGGCTTTGCCTAGCAGAGGGTGCTGCACCACACAGGGGCACACCTAACACCAAGGATGCGTGTTTGAATCAGTTCGGGGAGGGGGCTTGCCTAACAGAGCGCGCTGCACCAGCAAGGATGCTTTGTTTGAATCAGTTTGGGGAGGAGCATTGTCTGGCAGTGTGCTGCAGCACGCTTGGGCACGTCTAACACCAAGGATGTTCGTGTTTGAATCAGCTTGGGGAGGGGCCTTGCCTAGCAGAGGGTACTGCACCACACAGGGGCACGTCTAACACCAAGAATGTGTTTTGAATTATCTTGGGGAAGGGGCCTTGCCTGTCAGAGGGTGCTGCACTACACTGGGGCACGTCTAACACCAAAGATGCTGTTTTAATCAGCTCGGGCAGGGACCTTGTCTAGCAGAGGGTGCTGCACCACACAGGGGCACGTCTAGGACCAAAGATTTGTTTTTGAGTCAGCTTGGGGAGGGGCCTTGCCTAGCAGAGAGTGCTGCACCACAGCAAGACACGTCTAACACAAAGGGTGCTTGTTCAATCAGCTCGGGGAGGGGACTTGCCTAGCAGAGAACACTACACCAAACAGGGGCACGTCTAACACCAGGGCTGAAATGTTTAATTAGCTTGGGGAGGGGCCTCGCCTAGCAGAGGGCGCTGCACCACACAGGGGCACGTCTAGCACCAAGGATGCGTTTGATTATATAAACTTCGGGAGGAGCCTTGCCTAGCAGAGGGCGATGCACCACGCAGGGGCACGTCTAGGACCAAGGATGTTCTCTTATTTTGATCAGCTCGGGGAGGGACCTTGCCCAGCAGAGGGTACTGCACCACACAGGGGCACGTCTAACACCAAGGATGTTATGTTTAAACAGCTTGGGGAAGGGCCTTGCCTAGCAGAGGGTGTTGCACCACACAGGGACACGTCTAACACCACGGATGTTGTTCTGAATCAGCTTGGGGAGGGGCCTCGCCTAGCAGAGGGCGCTGCACCACACAGGGGCACGTCTAAGACCAAGGATGCGTTTGATTATATAAACTTGGGGAGGAGCCTTGCCTAGTAGAGGGTGATGCACCACACAGGGGCACGTCTAAGACCAAGGATGTTATCTTGTTTTGATCAGCTCGGGGAGGGACCTTGCCCAGCAGAGGGTACTGCACCACACAGGGGCATGTCTAACACCAAGGATGCTATGTTTAAACAGCTTGGGGTAGGGCCTTACCCAGCAGAGGGTGTTGCACCACACAGGGACACGTCTAACACCAAGGATGTTTTTCTTGAATCAGCTTGGGGAGGGGGGCCTGCCCAACAGGGGTACTGCACCACATATATATATATATATATATATATATATATGTGTGTGTATGTGTACATCTATGTGTATGTATCGGCGGCTAGTGCCCAACAGCATTCAGTGGCGCTAAATAGCGCCCAGAAGCGCCGAACAGCGCTCAAATAGCGCGCAACAGCGCCATGTGAGGGAGATGAATTATGTCCGCTCTGCGCCCGATTGGGGGCGCTATTGGGCGCCATGGGGACGACAAACAGCTTCCGTGAGTTGACCTCCGACGACGACGACGGCGACGACAATGGCGGCGGCGGCGGCGAAGTCCTCCCCGCCCCCTCGTCGCCGTGCTCGCGCGCCTCTGCGCCGCGCGCCTCCGCGCCGCGCTCGCGCCCGCGCCTGCGCGCGTACGCGCGGGCGCGCGGGTCCAGGTGAGCCGGGCGCTCCGGTTGCACCAGCACGACTGCTGCGCCTTGGTGGAGCAGGCGGAGGGGGCGCCCACGGCACGCTTGCGCCGATCCTGACCCAGTTTGGCGTGCCTTTTGAGAGGATCCAGAAACCCCTAACCCTAGCGACACAGTGAAGACGTGGCCGCCTCACGCAGGTCCCCTTCTTTGCATCAGGGATCATAGGTTTGGGCGGTGTGGCGTGATAATCTGCAGAACGGCCCCTATCCCTGATGTCTGTGGCCCTCCCAGCTTGGGCCCCCTCCCAAAGGGTCAGGGTTTGACCCAGCCCCATCCCCACGGGGCCATGGTGTCTCAGCCCCGCCATCCCACCACCCAAGTTGGGGATATGATGGGCCCCTCGAAGCCCGAAGGGAACGGCCTGCATCTCCATCCAGGGGGGGCGGCGGCCAGAGGCGCCAGGCCTTGCCCGTGGGGATAGGGGACGGACAAACGAGGCTCTCCTTCCAGGCCCATTCTGGGCCCAGGATCGGTGTATACGCCTTCTTGGCCAGGATGCGGTGCAAGCGTACTGCTGGCGCCCTCCCACAGGCGCTGGACCTGACTGCGAACTTCGCCGAGGCCGTTCCGGAGAGGGGAGGGAAGCTCACGTGGGACTTAAGAGACGGGGGTCAATGCAAATGGGGTCAGTCAGATCGCCGGGTCTTGCAGGATTTTGCAGAGCCAGGGTTGCTCTGACCCTGGTTTGGGTGCAGAATCCTGGAGGATCTTGCAGGACCTTCCGACTAAACTTGGCGTGCATTGTTCCCAGTTAGTAGGTCTCCGATCGCGCCCCGGCATCTGACGTTTTGAGGCCTTCTGTTTTTTGTTGACGGCTCGAGGTTTCCGATAGCCTAAGAAGAAGAAGCAACCACATAAACATAAATGTTTGGCTCTCCGCGCGGATTTCTTGGATTCGCGCTGGGCCACCCTCCCTGGCGCGCGGAGCGCGTCAGGGGCGGCGCCGGAGGCGCCAACATTTTATGTTTGCGTGGTTTTGTTATTATTATTGATAATAATTATATGATTAATAGTATCATTATCAGTATTATTATTATTAGTCATATTATTTTTCTTCTTCTAGATCGTTCCCTCGGGTATGGGTGGGTCTCCTCGCCCCGGGATTTCCAGCGGTCCTGCCACGCCGAGAGTGTCGCAGATGTTTGCTGGATCCTGCGGCCGTTGGAGGCCAGAGTTCCGTCCCGAAAGGTGGACAGCCAGCCGGAGGATTTCTCCCAGGGGATTCGGTGACCCGTCCTCCTCCTCCTCCTCCTCCTCCTCCTCCTCCTCCTCCTCCATCTCCTCCCCCGCCCCCTCCTCCCACTCCCCCTCCCCTCCCCCTCCCTCCGCCTCCCCCTCCCCCATCTCTTCGAAGGGGTTAGTTGGCGCCGTCTGTACTTCTCCTCCTCCTCCCCTCCTCCTCCTCCTCCTCCTCCTCCTCCTCCTCTGCCTCCTCTGCCGTCCTCTGCCTCCTCTTCCCTCTCCCTCCCCCTCCCACTCCCCCTCCCCCTCCCCCTCCCTCCTCCCCCTCCCCCATTCCTCCGAAGGGCTTAGGTGACCCGTCCTCCTTCTCCTCCTCCTCCTCCTCCTCCCAGCCGTTTTTGGGCCCCGACCGCCTGCCGCGAGCGCGGGGGCCTTGCCTTTGCGAACTTCAAGACGGCACGCTGCAAAGGCGAGCCATTCACTTGCCAGAATCTCCTCTTCAAGATGCCAGGCACGCTGCCATGGGTTTCGCGAGCTTGGTCGCGCGAGGACGCCTGGGCGGAGTACACAAATTGGGGCAACACGTAAAAAGGAGGAAGAGCAAAGGGCACCAAGACTTACGGTAAGGGAGGAGATGATGCAGCCAAAGGCGCAGGAAAAAGGATCTGGAGGCAAAGGTGCAGAGAACCTGCGCGAGCACTGCCAGTGCGAGCAAGAACCTGCAGTCCTACTGGTTCTGCAAGCACTGCAAGGCGCCGAGGCCCGACGACGACGACCCTCGTGCCCGTCGTCTGGGAGCCTGGGCCAATGGACCACCAGCACTGCAGCCAGGGCCCCAGCCGATCCAGACTGGTGAGACCCTGTCGGAGTCAGAGTTGGAGAACATGGTGTCCTGCGCGAAGCGCTTTGGAGACGTGGCTGCAGCTGCTCAGTATCAGATCGCGCTGGAGAGGCTCCGTGCTGCGTCCAAGCAGCCCGAGGAGAAGCCCTTCCCGCAAAGGGCCACGTCGGCCCACCAACGAGTTCAGTTCCTGGAGAAGAAGCTCAATGCGGCCGCCGAGCAGCTCGAGAAGTGGAGGAAACGGTGTGATGAGAAGGCCACATCAGTCATTCAGATTCCAGCGGAGCTCGAGGCAGCGGACAAGGAGCACAAGCAGTAGGTCGACCAGTTGCGCAGCGAGGTGTGTCACAAGCAACAGGATGCTCCGCCTACCCCTGCTGCTGCTAACGGTCTTCGCCTGCGCGGCCTCGCCGAAGGCAAAGTTGACACTATCGAGTTCACGGACGCGGGAGAGACTTTCTGCGTTCCAGAGGATGAGTACGATACCACCGATGGGGACACGCAGGTCCTCCAGAAGCGAACCGGCGAGCTCAAGGCCAACGTCGCGGAGGCCACCAAGCAGGCGCTGGGAGACAGCATTTCCAAGATTGACGAGATCAATCAGCAACATATCACCCACATGGCCCGCCTGGGGAAGATGAAGGGGAATGGGCCCGATGGAGCCCCAGCCGCGGGAGATGGCGGCGACGGAGGAGCACGCAGCAGAGATGGAGCTGGATATTCAGGAGTGGACGGGGCTGCCGAACAGAAGGCCTCGCCATCCCGAGGAGAACCTTCGGACATCAGGGAGCTCGCTCGCCGCGCAGCCAACCAAGCAACGCCCCCTGCACCGAGTGCCACGGCCAGTGCTTGATCGTGCAGGGGGCAAACGAGCACCAACAGAGCGTGCTGCTGGGCCGCTACAGCAGCAGCTACCGCATCTGCCGCTTCGTCGTCTGAGCCTTCCCAATGAGGGAGATCCTTTGCATTTCAGTAAGCCAGCTGCGAGTCAAGCTTCTGACTCATCAGTTTTGCCACGGCTGTGCCGTCTTCCGCCCCCCCCTGCCAGATGCTGAACCCCTTGGTGACTCCTTGGGGTCTCTGAATTTTCCAGGGCTTGAGGCTTTTGGATTGGTCGTAGAGACGGCCAATGTCACTTCGTGGGGATCCGCCAAGTCATGGCCGTTGAGGACGTTGGCGCATGTTGCGTGCCTCCAGGAACACACGCTGATCCACGGATGCCAGGTTTCGGAGGCCAGCAGCTGGAGCGTCTCGAGGGGGCGCGTAGTGGCGATCTTCGCCTGATCGTTCTTGGGCATGCATGACTTGGTGCAGTTGCCCATGGTGCACCCCAGCAAAGCCATGGCATGTTGGGTTCAGATTCCAGGGGGTGAGTCTATGGTGCGCATGTCGGTCTACCTGAAACATTCCGAGGGCCTCTCTACTGAGAATTGGAAAGTGATTGCAGGAGTTGGAGCCTTGCCACAGAGCACCAATGCACCCCACATCATAGGATGAGATTTCAACATGGAGCCGACCGAGCTCCATGGGAGTGACCTGGCCGAGAGCCTCGGCAGCAGGATCATCAACCCGTCAGTCGAGGGCACGTGCGCCACAGCAGTGTCCGACAAGAGCCGCTTGCTTGACTACGTGGCGGTCTCGGGAGGGTTAGCTAAATACGTCAAATCCACCCGCCTTGCCCTGGAAAGCGATATTAAGAAAAGCGATATCAAGACCCAGAAGCCAGTGCAGGTCAGCTTCTACCCCAAGCTTGCGGATATACATTACCTTACCTTCCAGAAGCTCCCTGCTGTCCCTTGTGAGATCCCGATGGGCCCGGTCCCAGAGGGCCCCGTCTGGGATTCTATTTTGGATTGCTCCCAACACGGACTCCACGTGGTTCGCAACGGGGTCCCAAAGGCAAGTATTCAGCGTCATCTGGGTACTTGTGCAAGCAGTGGGCCAGGTTAACCGAGCTCGAAGGTTGCCAGTCACGACATTTTGAAGATCCTGTTGCAGGTTGCCGGGGCCGGCTGCCTAAATTGTTGCGGAAGCCGGCCTTGGGAGTGGACAGTAGAAGGGAGGTGAAGCAACCGACCCTGCACTCCCCCCGCGCTGGCTGGGGAGCACCTTCCGCCTTCTTGCCAGCGCGCTACAGGAGTGGCAAAAGCGTGCACGGCATGATTCTTTTGAAGAGCCAAGCTCGTTCAGTGCCTGTCCGGGGCAGCGATGGTGATCAGCAGGTACCTCCAGGGGGAATTCAAATATTTGTACCAGTCTGTGAAGGATGTCATTAAGTTTTCGGAGGATTACACAGTCTTCGGTGGCCCAGAGGCCTTTGCGGATCTAGGTGTAGGCCGCGATATTCGAAGTAAGATCCCCGAGGGGCTGGGTGAGCGCTCCATAAATGAAGGCTTAGAATGAGTCGCACAAGGATTGGACAGCTTGGCTTCTCGATGGGGGTTCAAAAAGGCGTTGGGAGAGCCCGCAGGTGGACCAGGTTGCCTAAGGAGTGGATCCCCACGAGCACCCTGTCAGCCTCTGTCGGTCCTCAGCAGCGAGGCTGCCACGTTCAGCAAACGTTGGAGGAGCTGTTCGGGAGGTAAGACTAAACCTCAGCAGGAGTACATTCAGCCTCTGGAGTTCTTTCGCCCTCAACGCGTACGTGAAGCAGCTCGTATGTATACAGCGGCATCAACGGTCCCATTAGATGGATTCCACATGAAGCATTATGCGTCCGTGTCTGATGGTGCTTTGATGACCCTGATGTCCTTGATGCGCATAATGGAATCGACGGCGCTGGTGCCCAGCCAGGTTCGCACCATCTTGGCGCCTCTTTTGGAGAAGCCAGCTGTAGGCTGGCGGCCCATGGGACTCTCCAGCTCGTTCTACAGGCTTTGGGACAAGTTGAGAAGGCCTCGCTCTGCGCGTTGGGAGCACGACACCTCACGCTGGAGCAGCTGACGTCGTCTGGCGACAGGCAGCGAAAGCTGAGAAGGCAGTTCGGGCTCTTCCATGAGCCAAGGGACCAACACACACAAGCAGTCGAACGACGTTGCGCGCAAGGTCCTTTGGGATCTGATGAAATTCTATGAGTCGATAGATTTGGTCGAGCTGGAAAGCCGCGCTGAGTTTTTCGATTTCCCGCCGCAGCTTTACCGAGCCAGCCTGGCGGCCCATGGAGGCCCGCCCTATTTTAGCATGGCCAGTCAAGTTAATGGGCCGCATTTTGCTGAGAGTGGAGTGATAGCTGGATGTTCTACCGCCACGTCGCATGTGCGTGTGTCCGTGATCCCTACTGTAGATCCGGTCTCATTCCCTCCCACGACCACTCTCGATATATACGCCGACGACTACGGCATATCTTCGATTGAGGGCGGTAAACAGGTTACTTCAGACATCACCCATACTGCCGCCCAGCTTCTCTTGAGGTTTGACGGCGGAGTTGAAGTCGTCTGCTGCTCAGGACAGATCGTCTGTTAGATGTTCTTCCGCCAAGGTAGGTCGCACTGCGCACGAGGCCCCAGGTAAGTACGGAGGAGCTACGCTCGCTGATTTCGCCGTCAACTTAGGGGTAGACGACGCTGCTGGCAGAAGCAGACGACAGAGAGGACGAGGAAATACACATCGAGAGCGTTCCAAGTTGTTCAAGCAGAGGACCAAAAGGTTCAAGAGAGCAGATAATGCGTTAGGAGCTCATTTTCGGCAAGTCTGTACCAGTGGCCCGATTGCTGGCCTCTACTACGGCTCGGGTGTGCATGGTGTTTCAGATTACGGGTTGAGCTCGTGCAGGAGAAGGTTAGGATTTGTTCTTCGACCGTCGGCAGGAATGCGGTCTTTGACGGCCCTGACGGCCCTCCTCATCTTGCACGGCGGCCCCCCGTGGTTCGGAGCTGTCGCGCCAGCTGTTAGATGCGCCAAGGAGGTGTACGCCACGCAGCTTAGGCAGCTCGCGCACACCCTCCCTTTCAACGTCCTTCGCGAGGCTTGGGACTCGGCGTTCGGTGTTCCAGAGGGGGAGCTTTCGTTGAGGAGAGTTGCAGTCCTCATGGTGGCCACGCCAACTTCAGCCGAACTTCAGCACGATGAGGAACGATGCCGACGCCGAACTTCAGCACGATTTTCAGGAAGCTAGTATTTTAACGACGTGCTCGCCCGCCTTAGTCAAGATTTTTTTGACGGAAGGGGTCTTGAGGCAGCTCGAACGCGATGCTAGTACAAATATTGGGATCGAGGGCCGAGCATGTTTCGACATCGTGGCAGGTTCCCTGAGGTCCAAGATGATTTCTTTTTTTTGAGAAGGGCTGCGTCAAGTCTCTCGCGCGCGGCGCCCTCTGGGCGAGAGGCCTGCAATCGAGCTAGGCTACCAACTGCCCTCGCCTCAGTGTCCGCTCTGCTAGCAGTATCCAGATGGAGTGTAGCATCGGCTCTGGCAGTGCACTGATTGCAGCGACGTTCGCGAAGACCTTGTTGATCAGCAGATCATAGACGCGCCCCCCGCCCTAGATCCTCACAACACTAAGGAAGTGCTGCTGTATACCAAGGGAGTCTTCGAGCACCCTGGGGATCGATTACCAGGCTCAAGGATGTCAGAGGGCATTCAAGTGCAATTCCATGAAGCAGAGCTCCCAGGGGCCCAGGTGAAGTTCCAGGGGCGACGTTCTTGGACGGTGGATGCACTAGACATCCCATTAAAGAACTTAGCAGAGCCTCGTGGGGATATGTACAGGTCACCAAAGGGGAACAAAAGCGGCTGGTCAGGGTCGCAGGGCCAGTTTGGGGACCTCTCCCTCAGACTCCCCAAGCGGGAGATTTCGGGGTCCTGGCCATGGTGGCCAACAATCTCGCGGGCCCTGCGGAAGGTTTCTGCAAAAACGTTGTGGATGTGTTCCAGATGCCACAGACGGAGCGTTTTTTTTTTTTTTTTTTTTTTTTTTTTTTTTTTTTTTTTATCCATATAAGCGTGTTTACGCCGGCACAATGATGTTGGCTCGAGGTGCTCTGCTACAGAAGCCATTCAAAGTTAAAGCCCATGTGGAAGATGACCCAGATCTCACTGAGCAGCAACAGTGGGATAAAGTCGGTAACAGAGAGTTGCAGCAGCAAAGTCTGGCGTTTCGTCTCACCCAACAGGGGGCCCCACCGAGCTGGACCAGATAGAGTGGCAGATGAAGGTTGCACGTTCTGTTTGTGTTTTTTTGCGGCTCGTCTTTTGCCCCTCTGGCCCGCCCTGGACCTCGCGGGTGCCCAGCTGGCCCCCAGAGTGCCTCACCAGAAGCCTCCTTCCCCGCCCTCTGCTGATCATGTGTGGGAATGGCACAGATCTTACTGGGGGTGTGCAGTGTGCCTCAAGATAAGACTTCACAACCCTGATTTTGTGGTTGGCCACAGTGAGATGCGCTCCGCCGAGGGTTGCTCGGGGGAGGTGCCAGAGCCGTCGCTAAAGGTAGGAGCCAGAGGACACAAGTTTTTGAGTTTTGAATGCAGCGATCGATATCACCCGCTCATTTGCTTTAAGTGTAAAGCGGCTTCCACCTTAGGGCAGCTGGCTTAGTTGGCGAGTGAATGCCAGGCCCCGGCCCGCAACAATTTGCAGAGGTGGTACTGCAGAGTGCTGAAGGGGCGTCACCCCAAGCTTGAAGGGGATGTTACTGAAGTTTCGCCCGAGTTGTTGTATGCCCTAGAAGCGGAATTCCAGCAGCCAGACTCTGCCGTCGATGCAGACGGCAGCGGATACCCCGACTAACGATTCTTCTTTGTGTGCCGACACTTCTTGCTTCGCTCCCGATTGCAGTTTTTCCCCCCCGCGTTGGAGTGGAAGAAGGCGGGCCCAGTTGCCTAGTTCGCTCCGACCAGTGGCCTAGGGCTCATCTGGAGGGCTCCGCCACGGGAGCACTGGCTCATCGGCTGAGTGTCAGGCCTACACCAGGGATGGAGCATGCCTACCGTCCTGGCGTTCTTTACACCAGGGGTGAACATTGCCGCGTCGTCCTGGCGTCGCCTAAGGTATTACAGGATTTGTGCGAGTGCGTGTGTGCACACGTGCTGCACGCGTATCAGGCACCCCTTGTTGTAGGGGAAGGAGCGCTGCACGTGCATTCTTGTTGTGTGATCGACCAAGCCACTAGCAGGTTCGATCTGGGGTTTTAGCCGTTTGCAGGTGGACGGTGCGGGTGTCTCGCAGCCGGCCTGAGTGCCCGAGCCTAGGGGTTCCGTCAGCCTGCAGCGGCTGGCCGTCCTTTTCACTGCGTACCGTGGTGGGGCTCACCCTGTGGGTTTCTGGCACGGGGTTTGATTGGTTGTGCCAGTCTGCCCCGACCGATGCTCTGCCCCTGGTGGTTCTCTTTCTCCCTGGCTCAGGCTGGGGTCTCTGGTGGGGTTGGGCATGCGCTCTGGCGGGGGTGCTGGTTACGCTGCCAGCCCTGGAACCCGAACTTTCGGGTTCCTCCTGCCGGCGTTGTTCCTTCCCTTCCCTTTTCCCCCCTTGGGGCAGCTGTCCCTGTTGCACGGCCAGTTCCCCTGGCGACTGTTGCGCAGGGACGGTTCGGTGGGAGCCGTGGGCACGGGGGTGGACTTGGAAACCAGGACGCCCCGACCGTCGCTCACCCCCAGTCCTCCTGCCCTTCTCGTGGGGTGGAGGTTTTTTTTCCTTCTCTGGTCGCAATGGCGTCTAGTGAAGTCCCCGCCAGGCCCCAGACGTGGGTTTGGTGGGGTAAGGCGCAGAGCGCTGCGAGACCTCGTGGAGGTTTGGAGGTCGTGGCTCCTGGCAACGTGATCGTGTAAGGGCCGCGGGGGCTTTGTGGCTCCTCCGTCCTTGGCGCCCTGGTGTCCGAGTGGCCCGTCCCGCTCAGTCACCGAAAGGGTTTTCTTTACTGGCAGACCTGGTATTGCCAGGCATGGTTCATGTTTAAAAAATCCTCCTCCTCCTCCTCCTCCTCCTTTTCCTTTCCCTCCTCTTCCTTTCCCTCCTCTTCCTTTCCCTCCTCCTCCTCCACCCCCTCCCCCACCCCCTCCTCCTCCTCCTCCTCCTCCTCCTCCTCCTCCTCCTCCTTCGCCTCCTCTCCATCCCTCGCCTCCTCCTCCTCCTCTCGTCTCCTCCTCCTCCTCTCCTCCTCCTCCTGCTCGGCCTCCTCCCTTGCCTCCCCTGGGTGTCCTGCTTCCTCCTCCTCCTCCTCCTCCTCCTCCTCCTCCTCCTCCTCCTCCTCCTCCTCCTCCTCCTCCTCCTCGACCTCCCCTCCTCGGGCCGCCTACGAACCCAGGGGAACCCGCCCACAGCCAGCGTCGTGCGAAACAGTCAGGACACATGTTTGTGTCGCCGCAGTCGGCCTGCAGGGGGGGGCCCTCGCCGAGCTGTGGGAGCGCTCGGAGAAGCGAGGGCTCCGGATCGAGAGCCAGGCTCAAGAGGAGGAGGAGGAGGCGGAGGCGGAGGAGGAGGAGTCGGGACTTCGAGTGGGCACGGCGTCGGGTTGGGCGTCGCCGCGCTGGGCGTCGGTCGGGTAGGGGGTCGGGTCGGCCGTCGGAGTCGTGTCGGGCGTCGGGTTTCGGGTTAGGCGTCGGGTGTTGGGTCGGCGGTCGGGGGCTGGGCAGGGCATTGGGCTTGGCGTCAGGCTGGGCGTCGAGTACGGGGCAAGAGCGTCAGTACTTCGAGCGGATACCTGGTGCCGAAAAATCTATGCCGCCCGCGGGTTGGGGGTGGGTGCGAAGAGAATCGCGCCTCGAGCTGCGCGGGCTGGGCCGGTGCGGCCGCTCTTCTCCGAGTTGCCAGCGAGAATGCGCGAAGATATCGTGCATCGCGGGTCGCGATTCGCGAACTTGGGCGACCTAGAGAAATCAAGACATCGTATGCTTGTGGCCGCCCTCAGTATCGTTCAACCGATCCCTATCCCCATCCCCATCCCGAGCCCCACCATCCCACCGCCCCAGTTGTGGACATGCCCCTCGAGATCCGAAGAGAGCCGCCGATCTACCCTCATGATTACGTCTGGCGGGTAAGTCGGCCAGTGGGCCGAGGTCACGCCCGCGGGGATGGGGATCGGCCAACGATGCTCCATCTCTTGGGTCGGGCGCCTGGTGGCGGTGGGGCCCTCCCCCGGCCCCGGCGAGGTGCCGCACAAGTGCGCCGCCATCTTCCACCGGGAGTGCCACTTCCAGGCGCTGGTCCTGCACGACATGGCGCAGGGCCTGGCCCAGACCCCGCCAGCGCGACACTCGGTGGCCTTCTTCGCGATGCTGGGGGGCCCCGCGTTCGTCAGGTGCGCAGGCGGCGCAGTGCACACCACCGGTATGCCCGGCCAGGCTCGTCCTGGGACCCAGGCGGTGCATCCTTTCAGGTGGAGAAGACGTCACGCAGCACAGAGGAGCGCTAACATCAGTAGAGCCAGGAACAAACTACACGAACTGGAGTGGGAGAGGAATACCCAAGAAATACGAACAAGCACGTATTCCTAGAAGTTGTGTCTTATCTGTGTTCCCCTGAGCTCTAGGCCTCCTAGATGGGGTCGGAGTAGATGGGGTCGGAGGATCGCGCCGCATCGCCGATAAATCGCCGATGCGGCTCAATGCGGAGCCCGATTTTCTCCACGCCGACGCCGCCGACGCATCGCCGATGCATCCTCGATATATCGCCAATGCATCGGCGATGCGGCGCGATGCTCCAACCCCATTTACTCTGACCCCATCTGGGAGGCCTCTATGAGCCCCCTTTGTCCTTGGACGACGTTCCTGGCCTCGGCCAGGTGGGAGCAGCTTTGCACCAAGCCAGGCCTCAGGATGGCCCCGGCCAGGCATGGCGGAGGCGTACAGATGCCTCCTGCGCGTCAGGGCGCTGCTTGAGTCGCTGAGCCTCTTCCTGCGCGACGCCACCGGCGAGCGCTCGGGCGACCAGATGTTCCTCTCGCACGCGTGCGCGATGATACGGCTCTACGCGCAGACGCTGCTCGCCTACTACTACGCCTTCCAGGCCTCTGCCGATGAGGTCGAGGCCGTGCTGTCGTTGCTGCTGCACGTGGTCTTCCGGCGGAGAATTGTACCAACCACTGCACCTCGCCGATGCTCGGAGGAGGAAGAGTCAGCGGCGCGCCCAGGGGGAGGGAGGAGTGGGCGGGCCTTCTCCAGCTCAGATCGCCTCCGGCCTTCGGATTAATTTCGAAGCCTTCTCCGAAGCCTCGCCGCAGGGCTCGAGCCGAACGGTGTTTTGGCGATTTCGTGGGCCGTTTTCGTCTTGATTCCGTTTCGCGGCAAGGGCAGAACATAGCGCAGGAACGCGAAAACAAAGCGATGAGGATCAACATTGTTTAGCTCGAGCCCTGCCCCCCGCCACCTTCCGAGAAGGCTTGCCCGCTCTCGTTTCCCCCTCGGCACACCGTCGAAAGAAATCATGGTAATGGCACTGTCCAAGGCTGGTATCGTTCGGGAATCTTGGCACTCGTGCGTATGTAGCCGTGTGTCTCTGGGCCCTTCATTCCTAAGATTCCGTGGCAACAAGGGCCACCAGCTTCTCCAGAGCATTGCCCCAGCGCGCCCCGAGCCAGGCGCATGAGTCACCGAGCGCGTTCCACTACTCGCAAAGATCCTACTCGGAAACCCCGAAAAGCACACGCCTGCTTCGATGCAATGTATCGTAGCTCCCCCGCGGCGGATCCAGGCGATTTGCGAGCAGCCACTTTGCGAGTAGTGGCACGCGCGCATCCAATCGGGACATGACTTAGCATCGTTTAACCGATCCCCATCCCCATCCCCATCCACACCTCGAGCCCCACCGTCTCACCACCTCCGTCGGGGAGATGCCCCTCGATGCCTGAAGAGGGCAGCCTAGGTTCCCATCCAGGGAGGCTACATCGGCCAGTGGCGCCCAGCCCGCGCTGGTGGGGATGGGGATCGGTGCAACGATGCTCATTGACATCGCTCTCGTCCCAGATCCTGGAGGAGGAGGGAGGAGGAGGAGGAGGAGGAGGAGGAGGGAGGAGGAGGAGGGAGGAATGGAGGAGGAGGAGGAGGAGAGAGGAGGAGGGGAGGAGGGAGGAGGAGGAGGAGTAGAGGAGGAGGAGGAGGGGAGGGGAGGATGAGGGACGGAGGAGGGAGGAGGAGGAGAGGAGGGGAGGAGGAGGATGAGGGGGAGATGGAGGAGGAGGAGGAGAGAGGAGGAGGAAGGAGGAGGAGGAGGAGAGGAGGAGAGGGGGAGATGAGGGAGGATGAGGAGGAGGGAGGAGGAGGAGGAGGAGGAGGAGGAGGTGAAACGACGCTCAATGACATCGCTCTCGTCCCAGATCCTCACCGCGCGGACGTCTTGGATCGGCATTGGGTGCCTGGCCGGGGGAGGCGCGCCGCTCCCCGACCTCCCAGCGGACCTCCGAGGGTTGGAGGGCTTCTCCGAAGGGCTTAGGCGACCCCTCCTCCCTCCTTCTCCTTCTTCCTCCTCCTCCTTCTCCTCCTTTTCCTCCTTCTCCCTCCTCCTCCTCCCCTCCTCCTCCTCCATCTCCCCTCCTCCTCTTCCTCCTCCTCCTCCAATATCCACCCCTCCTCCTGCCATGCCCTTCGCCTGCATCCTCCTCATCCTCTTTCCTCCTCCTCCTCCTCCTCCTCCTCTCCTCCTCCTCCTCTCTTCCCCTGCTCCTCCCCCTCCTCCTCCCCTCCTCCTCCTCCTCCTCCTCCTCCTCCTCCTCCTCCTCCTCCTCCTCCTCCTCCTCCTTTCTCTCTTCCTCACCCTCATCCTTCCCGTCCCGGAGCCGGTTCCGGCCGGCGCCGGAAAATCGAGTTCCGAGGCGGCGCCGAAAAAAGGCCATTCCAATACACAGTGTTTTTCTGAAAATGCTGAATTTTTGCTTCTGGCGCCCGGGAAGCCTCCCGGGCCGATTCCGGCGTGCTTCCGCTCGTTCCGAATCGTTTTCCCGTTGCAGCGTTGGCCTCATTTCCGCGCTTCCGTTCGTTTCGACTCGTGCTCCCGCTGCAGCGGTGGCGTCATTTCCCGTGCCATACCACGGCATGCAATGCAGTGCTAGATTGATACTACGCTTCGCGGTGCTCTTCTACGCCATACCATGCCGTGCTCTACAGTGCATCGCGTACCCTTTCGGGATCATTGCCCTGCTCGACATCCGACTGTGCGAGTAGAGAGGGGATCTGCGCCATGGTAAGGGATGGGAGGGAGGGGTAGGATGTCAGGTATAACGCGAGCGCACCTAGCTTGCCATCTCCCCCTCCCCCTCCACCCCCTCCTCCTTCTCCTCCTCCTCGTCCTCATCCTCCTCGTCCTCCTCCTCCTCCTGCTCCTCCTCCTCCTCCTCTTCCTCTTCCTCCTCCTCCTCCTCCTCCTCCTCCTCCTCCTATTCTCACCTCCTGTGGATGGCAGGCAACTCCGAGGCAACTCCTCCTCCTCCTCCTCCTCCTCCTCCTCCTTCTCCCTCCTCCTCCTCCTCCTCCTCCTCCTTCTTCTTCTCCCTCCTCCTCCTCCTCGCTCGAGCTGGCTAGCTTGACTCGCTCGGGCTGGCTAGCTTGACCCTCACCCTCACCCTCACCCTCACCCTCCTCCCTTCTCCCCCCCTTCTCCCCATCACCCTTCCCCTCCCCTCCTCCTCTTCCCCTCCTCCTCCTCCTCCTCCTCCTCCCCTCCTCCTCCTCCTCCTCCTCCTCCTCCTCCTCCTCCTCCTCTCCCTCCTCCCCCCCTCCTCCTCCCCCTCCTCCTCCTCCTCGCTCCTCCTCCTCCTCCTCTTCCTCCTCCTCCTCCTCCCCCTCCTTCTCCCCCTCCCCCCTCCTCCTCCTCCTCCTCCCTCCTCCTCTCCCCTCTCCTCCTCCTTCTCCTCCTCCTCCTCTTCCTCCTGCTTCTCCTCCTCATCATCATCATCCTCATCCTCATCCTTGTTCCTTATTGGAACATACCCCCACCTACCTCGTGTTCCGCCGATAGCGACCCAATCCGGGACCGCCCATCCGGATTGTTAAAGAAATCCATACAAAGTCGTTTTTTTTTTTTGTTTCGTTTTTTCTTCTCAACATCGTCTTTTTTGTCGTCGACGATGCGAAAAGCGTGGTAGGAATGGAACGCGGCGCACATCGCGCGCGGCAGTCAATCTGGGCCCGCCCATCCTGACTGTAAACAATCAATACAAAGTCTTCGTTTGTTCTCTCAGCATGCCCTGCCTTGTCGCCGACGGTGCGAAATCTGTGGCAGCAATGGGACGCGGCGCACATATGGGACGCGGCGCACATCGCGCGCGGCCGTCAATCCGGGCCCGCCCATCCTGACTGTAAAATATCCATACGAAGTCTCCGTTTTTTCCTCTCAGCATGGCCTGCCTTGTCGCCGACGGTGCGAAAGATGTGGCACGAATGGGACGCGGCGCGCATCGCGCGCGGACGTCCATGCGGGCCGCGGGCCCTCCCATCCTGATTGTAAAAAAAACAATGCCGAGTTGCCGTTGTTCCTTTCATCATGGCTTGTCTTGTCGTCGACAATGCGAAATGCGTGGCAGGAATGGGGCGCGGCGCACATCGCGCGCGGACTTCTGGGGCAACCCCAAGGCGGGAGGGGCCACCTTACTTGTCAGAAGCAATGCCATGGCAAGAATTGGGCGCGGCACACACTCCCCGCTCGAAGTGAATGAAATGACCTTCCCGCTTGGGCGCCGAGCGAACTTTTCTCAAAGTTGTGCGCCCCCGCTTTGGCTCGGCGCACGTTTTTAGCTCTCCAATTCATTGGGCGCCGGGGCGTTCCAGGAGGCCCTGGGGTGACGAACGCCTGGGAGGTTTTTGCTTGTCCAGGCTCTTGGAGGGCCTCCTGAGGCTCCCCGCGGTTTCTTGGCGGCGTTTGCGGCCGTCTGGAGGCCATCTCGGGCGTCTTGGAACGATCTTTCGGCGACTCAAGGCCCCTCGGATCGTCTCGGGGGCGTCTCGGCTCTCTTGGGGCGTTCCTGAGGCGCTCTGGGACCTGGAAGTCAGCGCTCTGGGACCTGCGACACTGAAATGCCCGCGCAGCCCCCAGTTTTGCCATCACTGTTTCTTATGTTGTGGGAGGGCGGGTGGGAATGGGCAAGCCATGCTTGACTCGCTCGAGCTGGCTAGCTGACCTCACCGCCTCACCCTCACCCTCCTCCTTCTCCTCCCCCCCCTTCTCCCCATCCCCCTTCCCTCCCCCTCCTCCTCTTCCTCCTCTCCTCCTCCTCCTCCTCCCCCTCCTCCTCCTTCTCCCCCCCTCCTCCTCCTCCTCCTCCTCCCCTCTCTCCTCCTCCTCCCCTCTCCTCCCCTCCTCCCTCCTCCTCCTCCTCCTCCTCTCCTCCTCCTCCTCCTCCTCCTCCTCCTCCCCTCCTCCTCCCCCTTCACCCCCTCCTCCATCCCCTCCATCCTCCCCCCTCTCCTCCCCCTCCTCCTCCTCCTCCTCCTCCTCCTCCCTTCCTCCTCCTCCTCCTCCTTCTCCCCTCCTCCTGTTCCTGCTCCTGCTCCTCCTCCTCCTGCTGCTCCTCCTCCTCCTCCTCCTCCTCCTCCTCCTCCTCCTCCTCATCCCTCCCCTCCCCTTCTCCTCCTCTCCTCCTCCTCGTCCTCCTCCTCCGCCTCCTCCTCCTCCTCCTCCTCCTCCTCCTCCTCCTCCTCCTCCTCCTCCTCCTCCCCCTCCTCCTCCTCTCTCCTCCTCCTCCTCCTCCTCCCCTCCTCCTTCTCCTCCTCCTCCCTCCTCCTCCTCCTCCTCCTCCTCCCCCCCCTCCTCCCCCCCCTCCTCCTTCTCATCCTCCTCCTTCTCCTCCTCGTCCTTCTCCCTCCTCCTCCTCCTCCTTCTCCTCCTCCTCCTCCTCCTCCTCCTCTTCCTCCTCCTCGGGTCGCCCACGGCCGTTGGGGAACTGTGCACGCCTGGCCAGGGGATGCAGCGCCGATCCCAGACCTCCCAGCGGACCTCCGAGGGTGTACAGTCGGAGCACTGAAGAAGGAACCCTTTTCGTTGGGGATGGGCTTGGTGTTCCTTGACAGTTGTGCAACTTGCCTCAGGCTTCCCCCGAGGTTTTCCTGGGACATCGAAGTTTAACT